CGCCATGGCTGTCCTCCTCACCAATATTGTTGCGTCCACGGACAACCGCCACCGTGATCCTCCCATCCCCCCTCCTCGCTGCGCTTAGGTCCGGTGAACACCACCGGCTCGTAGTGTCAACCGTTAGGGCAGCAGCGCCGTAGCCTCACCGGAGCCGGACATGCCGCGGCCGTGCTCCGCCGTGCTCTTCGCTAGCCCCTGTAGCCATGCCAATAGCTTCCATTTAGGGTTCCCCTAGGTCCGCTAGGGTGAGGCGAACCCGTAGGCACCGTTGGTCTCGCCGGAGAAGCCACCGACGGCGAGTCCCGCCGTCGTCTTCCTCCGTCCCCTGCTTCTCTCGCTGACGCGCGGGTCCACTTTGTCAGCCGCTGACGTGCGCGGCGGGAGCAAGCTGGGCTGCGCTGCGTCTTGGGCCGCGCCAAAACAGATTCATGGGCCACCGTGATTCTACGGGGCTGGCCCAATGAGCGTTAGGGTTTTCATTTTGTTTTGTGTTAACTGTTTTCACAGCTTTGGTGCACAATTTCAAAAATATGTAACTCAAGTTTGGTAGATCCAAATATTATGGTTCCAATTTTGTTGAGTTCCTGGTCATGTCTAGTATTTAAAAAAATATTATATGAGCACATGTTTTAGAAATTTTTGATGAATTAAATAGGACATTGAAATGTGTTTTTAGATGCATGCAAACTTGTTTGAATTTTATCTTGAGTTTTTGTGGTCCAAAAATTATGAAATTTTATGGGTAGTCTATTATTGCTTATTAGAAGCTCTGGTTAAAATTTCAGAGCTAGTGCATGTGTAGTTTTTAAGTTATAGAATTTCCTTTTATTAATGGGTGGATCTTGTGTGAATTTTCATAATTTTTCTATAGATCCAGTGGAGGTAAAATTTGATGAGTGCTATTCTTATGCTAGAATGATGCTAGGAAAAATGGGAAATCTGTTGCTTGACACTTTTTAATAAGGTTTCCTAATTATGCTAGAAATAGACATGTCATCTGTTATTTTAGATACAGCAAATTCTACTTGCCCAATGGCTTTGAAATTTTTATGGTAGTCTATGTGCAGCATGAGATAGCTATTGTAATTTTTGTAGATTTTGATGAATAGTTTTACTATATATTGCTTAAATCACCTAATTAACTAAATAAATTGGAAAAGGATATTAAATAAATTATTTATAAGTTGGCACTATACTTTCTGATGTTTCTTAGGTATGAAAAACAAGTTGGTAAACTTGGATTGATCAAATTATGCTTTTGCACAATCATTAATTAATTAAGTTAGTAATCCTGTCATTTCTGGACAGATTCTAAGTTTACTGGAACTTGATTTGGTTAACTTAAGAATCATGCTTTGATGTTTACAAATAAATTGTAGAAAATTTCATAAGCTTTCCAGAATGTCCTCTTGCAAGTCAATTGGATTTGTAGAACTCTGGTTGTGATTGGATTAAGGGACTATTTGTATGCATATGAAACTTTAAATGTTAAATTATGTATACCTTTACTATTCTAAGTTGTGGTAATGTTTCTAGGTGTTAGGCCTTTAACTGAAGTTGAGCATCTTTATTTTAGGTTATGCAAGTTAGGTAAGTTGATCTTGTTCTTTAAGTTAAGTAGATACATGCTTAAAGTAATTTGAATAGAGCTAATTACTCGGTAAACGAGTGTCCAGTGATGCTTTCGTAAACACTCACTGTGATTCATTCATCATAAGCATCATGTCATTCCTTATGCATCCATGATATTTATCTTTTGCATCGGCATGCAATAGGTGTACCGGAAGGAGTAACCTCTGCTGGAATTTGAGGAACTGAAAGCCGAAAGCGGCAAGACCGGAGATTCGGGAGGAGCGACCTTCAGAGAAGTGCTTGACGAGGTCGCCGTTGAGTGCCCGGACCACCGTCCTTGCAACTTTGTGAAAGGCAAGCCCCGAGCATATTAAGCCTCCTAATTTCTAAAATGCGATTCATGATATTATTGTTACATATATATATATTGTTGCATTAAGTTTAGGTGTTGGATGCAAACCATTGCTTTGCATTGGTTACCCAATCCTTGTCCGATATATTGTTACCCTAAATCCTATGTAGCTCGAGCTCTCGAGTAGTGCTTAGCCCCTGCTTAAACGCTGTAGAAAGTCGGGTGATTTTCTCATCACCATGAGATATAGGAAGATACATGTGGCACGGTTGGCTATATTTGCTATCGTGGAAAAGAACCAGATCTTAATTTGAAATGAAGACCGAACGGAGGCTTGCCGGGTTTGCGATGACTCCGTCAGTGTCGCTTAAGGACCGATTCTTGGAGCCTTTCCTGCTCATGTTGAACGATGCCTCTCTCTTAGTTGGCCGTGTCCGATGACCGACCATGGCCGTAGTAGCTCACCTCGGGCCGGAGTCGATAAGTATAAAGTGCGCCTCGGAAGGAGCCGTGGGCGTGAGTCCAAGGGCAGTGATTTAAAAGTCCCGATCGTCCCCGCGGAAGGGTAATCCCCGAGAGTCTTGGCGCTGATCGAACCAGCCGAATTTGGTTCTGAGATGTACCAAAGGTAACCCACGGCTACCCTTGCTAAGTATGCCAGGGTGAGAGTTAGGAATACCCCCTCAGCTGAGTTGTAATTCGATTCGAGTCACCGTCTCTCCCGGTTAGTGAGAACTTGACGGGCTTATCTCCAATGTAGATACACTTAATAACTTAATGGTTCGGAAATAATGTTATGATGATGACAGCCTTATTATACCTGCTATAGTTAATATTGTTTGCTCCTAATAAGTGAGTGCTCTAGTACAGGTGCTAATCTAGTGGACAGGTAAATAACGATAAGCTTGATAATAAGTTTAAATTGGTTACTATACTCATAAGCTTTTTTTATGCAACTGTGTCAAGCTAGCCCACCTGAAAAGCCTTGCATGATCCTTGGTGTCTTTTATTTCTGGTTTTGACGGGTAAGTCTAGCTGAGTACCTTCTCGTACTCAGGGTTTATCTCCCACCTGTTGCAGATGACCAGTTCTTCTTTGGTTGCTGCAAGTACTGCCTTCTCCCAGCTGGGGATGAAGACTAGGCCGTTGGGTGCGGTCTCTACTAGTTCTCGTACCTGATAATGCTTTTGTGGGACATGACTCTGATCTGGCAATGTATTTGAAACTATGAAGTTATGTACTAAAATATGTTGCTTCCACGCATTTAAACTTGGTTTGTAATATTTTATTTGAACTCTGATGGATGTAATCCGAATGCTACTTATGAAATGTTGTAACGGATGATGTGTTATGTTGAATCACTACGATCTTGGTTTGTATGTCGAGAGTTGGTTGAAATCCTTCGTGATTTCCGGACTACCGGGATTATGGGAGCTTAAGTACAGAAATTTGATCGCTTCGGTGATTGTTTTTGTACTTACGTTCTTATGATTTGGTCGATTCTGTTACATCCTGCTCGTTCAAAGGCAAGTAAGACAGAAACAACATATCTGTTGTATGGTTATACCCTACCACTTATTATATCTTTTTTTAAAACCCAACCACCTAGTATATGAACAGAAAGGTTTCTTAAAAAGACTACCGAAGGAATATTTCGGACTTTTTTAGATTACACTAAGCAATGTCTTAAAAATCACTAGATCACTTAGGCAGTGGGGTGGGCTGATTCTTAAAGCAGTGACCATAAGCCTAGGCGACACATAGGCAGTGATAAGTCGAGGAAAGGCAACGCCATACCAATATACTAAGTTGCAAAACAACAGCATGTAGTGGAAAAATAAAGGAAAAAAAAGAAAAAAGGAGTAAAAAGGGCGGGGTTAGTCCACCTTCGTCCAAAAAAAATGCAACTATGGGATTCGTGCCGGTCAATTTGTCTAAAATTTGACCAATGTCCTGTTCGCTTAGCTAAAAAGTCAGACTGAAAAATACTATTCGCTAATTTGTAGTTGTGCGAGAGAAAAACACTGTACCATGGTTGAGTTCAAGCTAACAGAGCCCAAGTTTACAGTGATTAGTATTAACATTTATGTCTGAAATAAGTTGTATGCCAAAAATATATTCCGTCACTAATCTATTGATACTTATTTGTATTAAAAATATTAGTATTTTTATATAATTTTGATCAAAGTTGAAATTGTTTGACTCCTCGAGAAGTCGAGAATTGCATTATTTTTTTAGGACGGAGTACTACTCTGAAGAGCTACTTGTTTCTCTAACTATTACGCGTGCGTTGTTCAGTCAAAGTTGATTGTTTCAAAAAAAAAAGTGAAAATTTGCTGCTACAGCCAGCTACTGTCCACACTATAGCTCGAAATTGCCGTGAACCGCATGGGGATATGAGCCCAGATAATACATGGCGTTTCTCCTTGGCTTGAGCATTTATTCACGAGCTAGTACTCTTACAGTCTACCAGTCTACCAGGCTAGTACTACTCCCTGTAGTCTATCAGGACATGGCTCTACTGCAGACATAATAGTACTCCGGCGGAGACATGCACGTTAGGCCCAGCCATGTCAGATAGGTTGGCGCCAGAGAAAGCGGCGTCGAGCTCGGCGTCGAGATCTACGACGCCGAACTCATGCCGCGTCCGCGCCACGTCAACGACACGCAGAAAATGACCCTGAACCTCGGTGCCAAAGCAATTGGCGCCGAGACGTGTAAGCTCGGTACCAATTGTCACGGTGTCGAGGTCGGTGTCTATTTTTTTTTAAGGATACTGTCAGGGCGTATTTGTGAAAATCTTTTGGAAAAAGGGCTGAAAAACACAAAATTCGGGCCCAGCCCACGGGCAAAACCCACACCACACTCCGTTCCCCTTCTCCCAATTGCTCCTCCACTTCAATCGCAGGGACGCCCGCGGCTCCCGCCGCCCACAGGTAATCTCGCCGCCGCGACGCGACGCACCACGGCCGGCGCCGGCCGCCTTCCTCCAGCAAGTAACCCTGTGGTCCTGTGCGCCCGAATCACCTCTTAATTTCGTGCCTAGCCGACCGCGTTTCGCAGAGGTCGCGACATGCCCGCCTCGGCGTCTCCTCCTGTCCAGCCCGCGGCACCGCCCCTTCCTCCTCCTCCCGCTTCTCCTGCCCCTCCGGTCAGCCCCGCCGCCTCGTGCTTCTTGTTCGGATGATCGTGCCTGCAGCCCGCTCATTTTGTGCCTTTTTTTTTTCCCGCTTCTGACGTGTCTGAGTGCGGATGGATGATCCAGGAGGAGGTGGAGGCGACTGCTGGTTCGCCTTCGAGGGCTTCGGCAGTGGGGACGGTGAACTGGGGAACGGCCACCCTCGTTGGGGTCTTCGCTGGGCTGCTATACGGAGGGAGCAGGGAGGCCTCCGCCTCCGTCGTGAGTTGCCGCTCTACTCTAGTCTCCTTGCCGCATCTTTTGTTCTGTTACTCTATATTAGGTCGTAGTATGTTAGCTAGATGACTTGTTTCAAACAGACTTATTCAACCGATAATAAAAATATAAAATGGATCATTATTATTGCTATGACCATTTTGTATTGTTGTCCATTTCTCCTGCTGTTTTCGTCATTCCTAAAATCATACCAAGGTCTTTCATATCTCACCATTTAGTTGAAGCGGACATTGTGGAATTCCACATATGATTCTAGAATTATCTCTGCAATCAAGTAAAACTATTAAATATATAACAGTCCATACTGTACTAATGAATCTACAAATATATTTGAATGAAAATTAGATTTCCACAACTTCCCAAAACTTCAATAGATATAATACTTACCTCAGTCTCCCTTTTAAGCTAGGTGAATAGTTCTATCCTCTTCCCAGAATTGTGAACATGCTACAAGTTGAGAATGCCTTCCCTGAAAGCAATGTATGTGTCATGTATTGTAACAGAGTAAGGATGCCGAGGTGATGCTGAAGATGGGAAGCACCACTGACAAGCGTGAACAGTATAGATTGATGAGAGATGCCATGGAGAAAAGGTTCATCCGGGTTGCCAAAGGTTCACTAGTCGGGGTGTTCGGCTGGGGATGTTTACTCATACTTTCTTTGGCATACAGAACCTTCTTATCGACACTCGTGGAGTTCATGATGTATTCAACATTGCAAGCAGCTGGCTCTGCTACTGCAGCTGCTTTTGGGCTTATATGTATGTCTCTCACCATATTCTGTCTCTAACATAATTTTGGTTTGTGGAAAGATACCTAAAGTATTGTTCTGATTTAACATTGTATGATTTTGAGTAATCATTATGAAATATGTGAAGTACTATGAAGCACATAAAAGAACTATTATGGAATGAGCAGAAGCAGAGCATTTGGTATTTTTAATCCTCTTTAATGGTGGCTATTTGTTATGAGATTCTTAATGCAGGCCGATGTCAAATTCTGCCAATATGTTTCATTTGTCTTCATCTATAAGGTTTCTGTCTTTGGTGGCTTTCTATGGTTTTCTAATGCCTGACATGGAATAGATGTTTCAAGATTTTTCTAGTTTCAGTTTTGTATCTATGAAGACACTTTGATTTTTTATGTCAGTAACTCGGTACTAGTTGGGCTGAGTAAGAAGCTCATAAAAAGATGTCTGCTGGATTACATTGGTGTGAACCCGCATGTTCAGAAACTGTAAATATTGTTTGGGGTTTGTTTCTATTTTATCTGTTCCTTCACATATGAGTTACCATCTTATCGTATTGTTTATATTTTCTTTTGATTTTACTATGGAAATAATCAGTGCAACTTGTGACAGTGCTAACTTGCGATAGTGGTTTGCATCCTGACTTCAACGGGACTGACATTTGTACATTCAGTGCCAGGCTCAATGATGTGGCGTGCAAGGAATGTTTTGGTGGGATCTGCTCTTGGTGCTGGCATCTGCTATCCACTTGGTATTTTCATCTCGTCATGAACTCAAGCACAAATTTCTGCACTCTGCACTAAACAATTAAGGGCGTTTATCATCTTCTTACTTCCTTAATATGAGCTGCTAATGGAATGGTCAATTAGTCACAGACGTTCTAGTGTTCCATGACAGTAATAGGGTGCATTGAAACCCTCCTAGTTAGATAATTGCACTAGCATCTTTGGCTCTTCACATTGGGGAGTAAACCTTCATACGTAACCCGATTCCAATTTGATCTGTTAGCTAAAAGCTTCCAGTAGATGGATACCCTTTTCATCTGTCCCCAAACTATCGTTTCTTTATTATAGAGTGTTCTAGAATTGAAATCATGGTTAGTATTTGAAGTGCACGCATCACAGTATGGGAGTCTGTTGCACAAACTTTGTGTTTCTGTAGGTTTATTTTTGACAACTTATTTGGTCATTGTACATTGCTACAAGCCAGCAAAATCTGCTGTTGATTTTCAATGGTTGCTTCTACAGGTTGGGTACAGTTGAAGCTGGCAGAAAAGGCCAACTTGGAGATTGCAAATTCGAAACCATCAAACGATTTGACAGAGGGAAAAGGAAATCAAACCCGTGTGGGTGCTGCTATCGAACGACTTGAGGGTAGTCTGAAGAAGTGAAGCTTACGCATGACATTTTTCTCGTTCTCTCGGTTCCATAAATGTAGCAGCTACAAGGACTGGGCTGCACTGACTATTGCTTCTTTTCTCGCATGTTAATGTTACCGACTTTTATGTTGGGCTGTTGGCAGTATTGATGTAGAATACGACTTGCTTGGACTGACTGTTCTGCGTTGAATTTTGTTTCAAGTTTGCAGTAGATATCGCACTGGCAACTTGTATCTCTCACAAGACACAAGTTATTGAGTTCGCAGTTGCTGTTCCGAAAGGACTGGGAAATGCAAAATGCGTTTTCTCCTTTTTTTCCCCCAAAAGCTGGAAAAGATGTCCGTTGTACTGAAACAGTAGATAGCCATTGTTTGTGGCTTGTTTGGCACAGCTTTACCCGGCATCGACTGCGTGGAGGAATCAGAACCGCTGAAATATATATGTAGGGGTATATGAGCCCAGGAGGTGGGGAATTGGGCCTTCCCTCATAACTAGCTTTTCTTGCAAGTTTTTGGTATTCTAATAAGAACGGAAACCATAATCTTAGTTATTGGTATTTTGAAAGGTTATATATTTTACACATTGGATACTTTCATCTCGTGTCATCTCCTTACCAAAAGCATTAATGTTATAAATGTGTCGACTCATCAAGAAATTGACTAGCTAACTCAGTTCCGGATATCAATTTAAGAGGAAGCCGGGTCATCTAGGAATGCTCAACGTCCTGCGAAAGCTGCTGAAACTCACTTCATAGTTCATATGTTCTTTACGCTGAATGATTACATGGTTTGGCTGCCGTTAAAAGACTTTGCTTTCTGTTGCTTGGACTGCACAAGTATGCAACGTTTACATTAATGCTGACAGCGCAGGCTATCCGGAGCCTTCCCTACGGGTATGGGGCGCAGCGAAGCACGCCGCTCATCCTAGTACATAGTTGTCTCAACGAAGATCGATTGCATAGCATCCATTCAACAATGTGCAGGTCCTATCGGTAGTTGCACACAAACATGCAAAGCGAAGCATAACAGTCCACATTAAAACGCTGAAGTAATCTTGCATTCAGACTTCCCAAGCTTTGATCATTACAAAAGCAGTTCATCTTGACTAAAAACACGATTCAAATCAAACAACAATGCCCAGAAATCAAAACTACTGCAACTACTGTACCAATCTAACATCATATAATTCATGTGCTCCGGAACCGATATGAAACTTTAGTTTGCTGGGGACTGTTGTCGGCCATCTGGTATGGCGAAAAGAACAATGGGTTGGGACGGCCCAGTAAATGGAACATCACATCGGTAGTACCCTTTCCTTTCAAGCTGTATGATCTCTCCCTGTTTGAGATTCCGCGTGTCCGGGTCTCCGAGAGCCGAAGTTTCTCGTCGTGTGCAAGGATTAAGATGGTTAACGAAGTCATCCTTTTCTTCCAACTGCGAAGAGGCCAAACAATAGGATTTATAACATATACAAGTAGATGATTCTTAACCACAGAATAAACAGCATAAATTAATTGATGAACGATATTATTATTTTGCCCAAGGAACCTGATTCCACAAGGCCTTCAATATCAGGCAGCCAAGTTAGCTTCAACTTGGTCAACTTCACTGATCCCTCAAGATGGAGTTCACCAACCAGTTGAGTAATTATTCCATTCTCTGTCTTGATTTCTTTAATGACGGCGTTTCCCCAATCCATCAGAGTGACTTCCTGACCGGTGGTGATGACTGATGCATCAGCATACTCTAACCAAATTCTGTTTGTGAAGGTTGTATTCTTGTTTCCAGCACCCTCATACTTCTTATGTCTTGGTAAGATTCGAATGAACGGTTCCTCCGGACCATTGGTAAGACTGAAGAGCACATGTTGGTCTTTTAGCAGAGCGGTATGCCTTGCACACACAGGATCAATCATCTTCTTATTGATTGTCCAGAGTTTATCCCCCTCCATTAGATTTAGATTTTTTGACGCACCCTTTGAGGAAGAAAAAAAATAGAGGTTAAGAACACCACTCATATAGTTAGAATGTCATAAACATTAGCTAATTACACAATTACCTGCTCGAGTATAAATTGTGTCAGTGCTTCAATTTCAAGCCACGACGTACCATGCCTTGAATAGTAGGGAAGCGTGGATCAGTCCAGTCATCCACCTTCTTGTTCTGTACAAACCAGAGAAGCTTACGTTAACTTAGAAGGGTGTAAACCATATTCAACCTGCTAAACTCAAATATTTCCACCCTCTGCAGACCCATATCTTGAAGTATACGATAGTACTGTGCGTTCCGATCATGGTATTCACTTGAACGAAGAGCATGAGTCACTCCCTGCAACGCATCAACAAATGGGCAAGCAAAATCATATGTTGGGTAGGCCTTGTATGTTGAACCAACACGATGATGAGGGTCAGTGTTGCAACGGTAGTAAACCGGATCATGGAGTGACTTGTTAGGGTCCTGTATGTCAAGCTTACCCCGTAAGCAACACTGCATACCACTCTCAGTTCCGTTAACCATCTCTCTCCACAATGATAGATTTTCTTCAACAATATTGTTTCTACATGTTGATTCAACACCCGCCCTCCTCTCGACTTCCATTTGTGTCCTTGGTGTGTCATCAACATATGCCTTACCCTGCATAATCAAACTTTCAGCCATTTCCGTTAGCTTTGGAAAATAATCTGATGTGTATGTAACTGTGTCGTATTTGATTCCCATTGTATCAATATCTCTCAGGACGTTCTCCACAAATTCATTGCTTTCTTTCAAAGGATTGGTGTCATCAAAGCGAACTATTAGACGACCTTTATATCTATCTGCAAAGTACTTATTCAACAGCCCAGCCTTCGCATGACCAATAAGATACCCGCTAGGCTCTGGGGCAAAACGAAGGCAAACCTCCCCAATTTTTGCACCTGGCAGATCTATCTCAGGACCTGGGGTGTTCTCAGTTGGATCATGAATATTTTCTTTCAGGCTTGGTGCAGGTGATTTCCCAATCCCTCTCTTCCCAACATAAGCTACTATTACATCATCTAGTGTACTCGCATAGTCCACAGCTATGCAGTTGAACCAGCGAGTAAGGTTTTGATATTTTGTAGACCTTCTTAGACTTTCCCATCGTTGACCAGTTCCTAAAGCGAAGGGCGGGCCTGGTGCAAGCGGTAGAGTCTTACCGCCTATGACCGGAAGGTCCCAGGTTCGAGTCGCGGTCTCCTCGCATTGCACAGGCGAGGGTAAGGCTTGCCACTAACACCCTTCCCCAGACCCCGCACAGAGCGGGAGCTCTCTGCACTGGGTACGCCCCTTTAAGTTAAGGGTTAATTGTAACCATACCATTACAACTTTCACGGATTGAAAAGACACCATTACTATTCGTCATATTGGAACGGTGCCATTACTATTCGTTATTCATTTGAAATACGCCACTTTATACACTCTGAACATCGTTGGGTCCACGCACAAGCATCTGTATTTTCGTGTGGCCCAAAAGGCCCCTCCTGCTGCCCCTGTCTCCAGCACAATGACACGCGGGGTCCACACGTCATCTCCTTCCTCCATCTCCTGCAGCTAACCTCCACAGGCCAACGGACGGGTAGCACGCGGGCGGGCGAGCTCTACCCCGGCGTGCAGACGGGCGAGCTCGGCCCAGCTGCAGCCACAGGACCTCCGCCCTGGTGCGCGGGCGAGCGAGCTCGGCCCCACCGCGGGCTAACAGGGTGGCCGGAGCTGAGGACGGCGGCGGATGTGGTGGCCGGGGGCAGGAAACTCGGCCTCGCGCGCCGCCCACACAGGTCCACGCGAGCTCCTGCCTCCCACCCCAAATCTCCCATTCCGGAGCGCCGCGGCCATGGCGCGGTAGTAGGGCCACGCAGCTCGCTGCTGCTAGGTGAGGGCAGGGCAGCGGCGCAGCGGTCGTCGGCGAGAGACGAGCGACGAGCGTAAGTGTGCTGCTTGAAGGGGGCGGATGGGGCTCGGAGTGCAACGGCGAGTTCGGTCATCGGAGAGCGACGAGCGCACACGTGCTGCCCGGATGGCTCGGCACGCGACGGCGAGCTCCGTCACCGGCGAACTTGGTCATCAGTGAGCGACGAGCGAAGAAATGCTACTGGGGCTCAAGCCCTCCCGTCGCGCCGCCTGCCTCCTTCCTTCCCGTCCGCTCCTTCCCGTCCGCGGCCACGGCGCCGATGAGAAGGTGAGCTCCATGAAAATTGCGGTCGGGAAGGGGCCTCGCCGGAGCTCCTGCGCAGCCATGGCGGGCGGAGCTCCCGCGACCATGGTGGGGCGGAGCTCCAGTGCACGCGCGAGCTTGGGCCGGGTTGTGGCGGCGCCATGGATCGGAATGGCGCGGCTGGCGGTCGAGCTCTGCTGCTGCTTTCTCGGCGGTAAGCCATGCGAGCTCGGGCGAGCGAAGCGAGAGAGAGAGAGAGAAGACCAAGAAGAAGCTGCTTCACTGGCCACCGCCATCCATCCTTCGCCCACTCTCAGGCTCGCGCCTGCGTGCTGCTGCACCGCCACCGGACGAGAAGGCAGCCGCGCCATGGCCGGCGAGCTCGCGCGAGCAGGCTGCCACGTTGCTGCCGGGCAAGCGCGCGAGCTAGCTGCCGAGCCTCCGCCGGTCTCGCGCGCAGGGGCCGGGGGCGCTGCTGTCGCGCAAATGGTGGTCGGCCTCGCCCCCAGCTGGCCATGGCAACGGCGAGCGCGTGCGCCTGGAGCTCCGCTCCGCCATGGCCGAGCGAAGGTGAGCATGGCCTACATGAGCACGCCTCGGAGCGCGCAGACGCTGGCCGCAACACGGGTACGGGCATGCCGCCGACGCCGGTGAGGAGGCAGGCGAGCAGCTGGCCTGAATGTGCAGCCCCTTGCGACGGCCATTGGTAAGAGAAGGAGAGGAAGGGGATGACAAGTGGGGTCTACGCGTCAGTGACTGCAGGGAGGGGAGTAGCTGAGGGCAATATTGTCGAGACGAAAATACTAGTATGTCCGGTACGTCTGCAGTTGGGTCCAGGGCTGC